TTAATACTAATAATATAGTTAAAAGCGTTTGTGGTTGCTATATATATATGAAAAGACTTCTTTTTTTCATTGTATGTGGAGGGTAGTGTTTTTTTTTGTTGTCGTTCTTTTGAAATGTGGTTCCCCGCTCTGTCGTAAACCTATGTTCCAACTGTTTGAAACTGATTAACAGGTAGATTTTGTCCTTTTAATTAAAACTTTAGTTTGTGAATGATCAACATTCCCTAATAAGCTTTTCACAGGTTGCTAAGAGAAACAAAAGTTCTGTGACTTTTAGTAACCACAGAGATTGCGACTTAGAAAGGAGCCAGGGAGAATGTTTGCTGTATCTGTTTCCAATGGAGAAAAACAGCAGCTAACATCTTCAGTTGAGTTTGTGAGAGTCTGGAATCTTGCAGTCTCTTCTGTCAGGTCAGACCTTGAGCGGACATTTTCACACACCCTACTAGGACAGAAGTGCATAGTCAAATGACAGTAGGAGTGGGAAGGTGGCGTAAGTGAATTTAGGAAGCGTAATGGCATAGGTTCAAAGATAAAGATAAATGGCAGCTGACATTGAACACAGTGTGTGTGTGACAGTTTCCAGAGGGTGGGAACAGGGGCTCCCTGGAGAGTACCTGCCACAGCTGAAGGGGCAGCTGGGCCTTGGCCAGCTCTCTCTCTTTGTCTTTGAGAAGCCAGCAAAGTGTTTTTTTTTTTTTTTTTATTTTTATTTTTTAATGTAAAGTCTTCCAGTTTTTAAATATTGGTACTAATTCAGATATATTACCAAACATGCGGTAGTCCAACACCGCAGGCTCAACAAACCCCATTTGTGGAGTGCTTTTTTTCTTCCTTTCTTTTTTCTTTTTTTTTTTTAGACAGGGTCTTGCTCTGTCATCCAAGCTGGAGTACAGTGGTGAGATCACACAGCTCACTGCAGTCTCGACCTCCTGGGTCCAAGTGAACCTCCCACCCCAGCCTCCCCAGTAGCTGAGACTGTAAGTGTGCACCACTGTACCTGGGGTTGGGGAGTCTCACTATTGCTCAGGCTGGTCTTGAACTCCTGGGCTCAAGCAATCTTCCTGCCTTGGCCTCCAAAAGTGCTGGCATTACAGGCGTGAGCCAACATGCTCAGCCTGGGGTGTTTTTTTTTTAGATGGCGTTTCATTCTTGTTGCCCAGGCTGGAGTGCAGTACTATGGTCTTGGCTCACTGCAACCTCCGCCTCCAGGGATGGAGCTGTTCTCCTGCCTTGGCCTCCCATGTAGCTGGGATTATGCCCGGCTAATTTTTTTGTATTTTTGGTAGGACAGGGTTTCACCATGCTGGCCAGGCTGGTCTCGAACTCTGGACCTCAGGTCATCTGCCTGCCTCAGCCTCCCAAAGTGCTGGGATTACAGGTGTGAGCCACATGCCTGGCCCTAGGGTGTTTTTTGGCCTCCAGGCCACACCATCCCACTGTGCTGGACATGGCCTCCAGTCTGGTGGAGCAGCATGTCTGTAAAGTGAAATGTGTGGGCGTGGTTGTGCTAGGAGCTACAGCAACTACTTCCTGGTGGCCGCAGACTGTCCTAAATGACAGCCGAGATTTTGCTTCTTCCTGTGATTAATGTGCAGTTCCTTACACTTTTATTTTGTATGTATACCAATGATTACTTACCGGCGTCGTATTTAGTGGCCATGCTACAGATTCCTAAAATTGACATCTTTACCAAAGTTGACTGACTGATGACTCCAAGAAGTTTTTTTTGCCACTCAGCACTCAGCATCCTTCCAGAGCTACAGCCCATGCCCACTCTCTGTTGGATTCCTGTCATCTTTGTTTGTTTTGAATCGGTCTTGGTTTTCAAATGCCACTTTTACCACATTTTAATTACTAAGTTACTGTTAGTTTAAAATTATTATTATCAAATGAGTTTGTTATTTGGTTAATTCTACTATGTATAGTGAATGATGCATACATGTATCGATAGTATTTTCAGCTTGCAATTTTCAAATAACTAGACATATATGAATTGTAGTTCAAAATGAGTCATTCACAGACCTTTGACTAAAACAGATATGTATATATCTCTCCTATTTGTGTTTAACTGTGATTAAACACAGTTAATCACAGTTAACTGTGATTATTATGTTCCAACTGTTTGAAACTGATTTTTTTTTTTTTTTTGAGATGGAGTTTTGCTTTTGTTGCCCAGGCTGGAGTACAGTGGCAGGATCTCAGCTCACTGCAACCTCTACCTCCCAGGTTCAAGCGATTCTCGTGCCTCAGCCTCCCAAGTAGCTGGGACTACCAGTGCATGCCACCACGCCCAGCTAATTTTTTGTATTTTAATAGGGATGGGGTTTCACCATGTTGGCCAGACTGGTCTTGAACTCCTGAGCTCAAGCAGTCTTCCCACCTTGGCCTCCCAAAGTGCTGGGATTATAGGCTTGAGCCATCACACCCGGCCAGAGGGATCTTTTGAATGTGTGAATCAGATTCTGTTACTTCCTTACTGGTGGTCTCCATTTGCTTTCTCTGTGCTTAAAGTAGAACGCAGACTCCTCTCACTGGTTCACATAGCCTTCATCATTTGGCCCCTACCTGTCTTTTCTGCTTCTTGGATAGAAACTCCTGGAATGCTCTTCCCCTGAACTTTGCACACCTAGCTCCTTCTGGTCTTCCATACTCAGTATCTAGGTCCCTTCCTCAGAGTGGCCCATCATCACCCCATCTGAAGCAGCCACCTTGTCACTTATAATCCCTTGTGATGGCTTTTTAGTTCTCTGATGTTTTTCTCCCTACTTCCTGCTGGAGGTGTGAGCTTTTCATCATAAAGCAGGGACCTAGTCTAGTCTATGCTGGTCCATAGGATAGTAGTACTTGGCACATAGTAGGGATTCAATGAAAATAGGCTGATAAAAAATGGGTAGTTTTTTTTTTTTTAATTTTTTATCAGTATAACATAGTTATTTTTATCAGTGTAAAGTTATCTTTATGGCTCGACAGCATCATAAATTGCCTAGTGACCATTACCTCCATGTTATTGATGAGGCACCTGAGGTTGTAATTGAATGGCTTTCCACAAGTCACGTAAGTTACATGGCTAGCAGTGAGAGGAAGAGGAACACGTCCAGAGGGAGAAACAAAGTTTAGTTCGAAACAAAACTGTATCTATCATCATGTCTCAACTGAAAAATTTATGTTAAGAGGTCATGGGGACTAAAACAGACAGCAGACCAGCATGCGGCAGACAGAATGATGCTCAGTCTGCTCACGGCATGTGCTTGTGCACCGGGGCTTCCCCTAGACCCTTTGCAGGGATCCACGAGGTCAAAACTGTTTCCATAATAATAGAACACCACTGGCCTTTTCCACGCTGTGGATATCTGCACTGACGGTGCAAAAGTGATGAATCAAGACAGCCATGCCAAGCTGTACTAATAGTTCCTAATTTCTTTGCCATGCACTTGGAGAGAATGTCCTTGATAATAAAGCAGTGAAAATGATGACTTTGACTGAATCTTGACTCTCAAGCACACATCTTTTTAAGACTTTGCGTGCTGCTCCTTCTGCTGCATGCCAAGCCCAGTGG